ACGGATCGAGGAAGCAATGCAAATATTGTCACAGCGGAAAGCTGCGGCAGCAGCAGTAACAGCAGCAGCAGCAGAACCTGCTGCTGCTGCAGGTTCTGCTGCAGCAGACGGTGCAGCAGGTGCAGCAACAGCAGCAGCAGCCAAAGATGCTGCATGCACAGCAGCACCTGCTGCAGCACAGACGGCGCAGACATCACCTCCCTCCCAAAATAGCAACTGCAGCAGCAACAGCAGCAACAGCAGCAACAGCAGCAGTAGGAGGAAACCGTATGAGATAAGGACATCAGAGAAGCTGCATGTACACCGCACAGTAGCTCTGCTGCGCTCCCTAGGGAGGGAGAAGACTGCTGCAGATATACTGGAGGTATGCGGGCTTGCATGCGCTCATCAGCGGCTGCTGCTGCAGCTAGCTAAGCAGCGGCAGCACCTGCAGCAGCTAGCTAGACGAGCATTAGCATCACCGCAGCAGCTACCAGAAAGTCTTAGACATTGGATGGCAGATGCAGCACAGTATTGATAACACTTGCTGCTGCTGCTGCTGCTGCTCCATTTGCTGCTGCTGCATTTGCCGCGTCTGCAGCTGCTGCTGTATCTGGTGCAGCAGCAGCAGGAACGCGCCAATGCAGCAGCAAATGCATTACTGGGAGGCGCAAGCTGGTCATCATATACAGCAACAGCTGCTGATACAGTAGTTGCTGCTGCAGTAGTTGCTGCAGCAGCAGCAGCAGCAGCAGCTGCTGCTGCTGTATCTGTTACCTGTTAGGGAGAGGATCTAGATTTGCTGTTTGTCATTTTTAGGTGTTTGCTGCGCTGCAGCAGCACCCAATTGGCATTATTTGTCTATTTTTCTTTGTGGTGCAACTATTGCTGCTGCTGCTGCTGTTGTTGTTGTTGCTGCTGCTGCTGCTGCTGCGTGCTGGGGTGTCCTAGCTGCGAGAGGCTGAGGCTTTGCTGCAGCATAATTTTTGTTGATTGTTTAGTTAATGCATACACTGCAGCAGCGACAAAGTAATAATAATAAATATTATATATAATACTAAATATAAATATATAATAATAATAATAATAATAATAATAGTAATAATAATAATAATAATTGTTATTATTAAATAGTAATGCTCGCCAAACCCTAAACCCTAAACCCTAAACCCTTGCTCAACGACGATGAGATATTTGCCCGTAGCGCAATCTCCTATTTAAGAAAAAAAAAGAGGAGGAGCAGCAGCAGCAACAACTGCAGCAGCAGCAGCAGCAGCAGCAGTCACAGCAGCAGGGGTCCGTTGGTAGCATACACAAATTATCCGCCTACTTGTATTATTGCAGCAGCAGTCAGCAGCAGCAACAGCAGCAGCAGCAGCAGCAGCAGCAACAGCAGCAACAAGAGTTAGTTGCTACAGTAGACAAATTATCTGCGTATTTGTATTAGTGCAGGTAATATAAGAGCACAAAAAAAGAGGAAATTTGTTGTAACTCTACGCTATAAAGACAGCAGCAGCAGCAGCAGCAACAGCAGCAACAGCAGCAGCAACAGTTGCGGCGCTGCTGCTGCTGCTGCTGCTGCTGCAGACCACGGGGTGTAGTGCCTCTTTATCACATAGACAAATCAATGTTAAAATTTTCTTACTAACAAAAAATAGTAGAAGCTGCTGTTGCTGCTGCTTCTGCTGCTGCTGCTGTTCGGAAGCCAGCCCCCCAGTCGTACAGCAATAGCCGCAGCAGCAGCAGCAGCAGCAGCAGCAGCAGCAGCTGCTGCTGCTGCTGTGGCTGCAGCTGCTGCTGCAGCATAAGGCCATTTGGTCAATAAAAGTCTTAAGGAATAAGTTGAGGGTTAACAGCGGGGAGTCGCTGTTATTTCTTGTGAGACAGCAGCACGCAACGCTGCTGCTGCTGCTGCTGTGTTGCTGCTGCTGCAGCATCGGCAGCGCTGCCGACGAAGGCAGCAGCCACCGCCAAGTGTAGCAGGAACTTAGCAGCAGCTACTGAAGCTGCTCTCTTCTTTTTGCTGCTGTTGTCGTGCCGCTGCAGTGTCTGTTCGCTCCGCAGCGCTGTCTGCTGTTGCCGCTGCTGCTGCTGCTCTGCTTCCACAAGCAGCAACACCAGGCAGAGACCTTCCCAGCAGCAGCAGCTGCTGCTGCAGCTGCTGCTACCGGATACACTGAAGTGGAGAGGGGTCACAGCAACATCTCCACGACGGCAGCAGCAGCAGCAAAAGTAGAAGCATCAGCAGCAGTATAGGAGCAGCAGCAACAGCAGCAGCAATAGCAGCAGCAGCAGCAGCAACAGCCCTTCCTCAAAGGTGATGCTTAGGGAGAGCCGTTAGCCGTGCTGCTGTGACTGCTGCTGCTCCCGGTGCAGCGATGAGTCACGGCAGCAACTGCAGCAGCAGTAGCAGCAGCAGCAACCGCAGCAGCAGCAGCAGGCGATGCCACCCAACAAGCCTGCTGCCCCCCAAACCCGCGCGGATGCCTCAGGGGGACTCGGGATCGCCTCATAGCACGATGGATACCAGCAGCAGCAGCAACAGCAGCAGCATTAGCAGTAGCAGCATCAATAACAGCAGCAGCAACAGCAGCAGCAGCAGCAGCAATGCCAACACTTCGGTGAGGGCAGAGCGGCTGCAGCAACTTCTTAGTCGTGACGTTATAGACGCGGGTGAGTGCCCGTCACGCATACATCAGCATCAGCAGCAGCAGCAGCAACAGCAGCAGCAACAGCAGCAACCGCAGCAGCAGCAGCAGCAGCAGCAATGGGTTGTTTTGATTGTGCTGCAGGGGAGTTAAGGAATTTGCTGTGGGGCGGCGTGCCGAGCTGCTGCTCCCCAGAAGTTAGGAGCGACGCCTGGCGTATTATGCTGGTATGCTGCTGCTGCTGCTGCTGCTGCTGCTGCTTCTGCTGCTGCTCGGATTGTTGCTGCTGTGGATGCTGCTAGTAGTACTACTGCTGCTGCTGCTGCTTTTCGTGCTGCTGCTGCGGATGCCTGTTGATCAGCGCGTTGATCTACGTGCAGCCGCTGCCCCCGAGTGTATGCCTAGGGTTTAGGGTTTAGGGTTTAGGGTTTAGTGGTTCTGCGGTGTTTACAGGGATATTTGCCGCTCACCCGCGACAGGAAAGACGCAGGTACGGAGGTTATGAGGGTTTAGGGTTTAGGGTTTAGGGTTTGAGGCTGAGGGATTGGAACTGCAGTGGTTGGCCGTGTCGCTGCTGCTGCTGCTGCTGACTGCATTTGCTGCTGTTGGTGGTGCTGCTGCAGCGTTGGCGAAGAAGAGGGCTGATTACCACGAGCTTGTGGAGGTGCGTCTAAACCCTAAACCCTAGTCTAGCTCAAACCCTAACTAACCCTCTCTAAACCCTAAACCCTAAACCCTAAACCCTTTTTTTTTTATTTATGACTGCAGCAATACTATAGCAGAGGAGAGCCATCAGCAGAGGAGGTAAAATTATTAAAACAATTGCGTGTTGATTTGCCAAGAACGCATGCAGGAAGAAAATTCTTTGCTCATCCCCGTATTCAATTGTAAACCCTAAACCCTAAACCCTAATTTTTAAACCCTAAACCCTAATTTTTTAATCCCTACACCCTAGATAGATGTGTAAACATGTAGGAACAGGCAGGGAGCTGATGACGGGGGTTCATCTTGGATACTTCTTATGGCTGCAGCACATGCTGCTGCTGTTGTTGCAAATGTTGTTGTTGCTGCTGCTGTGCTGCTGCTGCTGCTGCTGCTGCAGGGGTATGGAGAGAGCGTTGTTTCTGTGGGCTGTGAAACATCCAGCAAGCGGATACGTGCAGGTTCGTCTAGGGTTTAGGGTTTAGGACCTAGGGTCCATGATCTAGTGTTTAGGGTTCTTGAGCCTAGGGTTTATGATATAGGGCTTAGGGTTTAGGATCTAGGGTTTAGGGTTTAGGGTTTGGATGTTGATTTTGTGTCTCAGGGCATAAACGACCTGTTAACCCCTTTTGTCGCGGTGTTTCTCCACGCAGCTCTAGGTAAGCTGAGGGTTTAGGGTTTAGGGTTTAGGGTTTCGCATCGATGTGGTCTATGAGGCCTGCAAGCAGGCTTGTGTCTGCCTATGTATCCGAGGGTTTAGGGTTTAGGGTTTGGTGTGTTCTACGCTGCTACAGGAAAAGATCCTGAGGGCCTTCCCATTGATGAGGTGAGGACGGCCCCACAGCGACAGCAGCAGCAGGAGCAGCAACATCACCAGCAGCAGCAGCAGCAGCAGCAGCAGCAGCTGTTGTTGTTGTTGTTACTGCTGCTGCAGCAACAGGAGTTGTGCGGGTTTGCTGCTGCTGCTGCTGCTGCAGGTAGACGAGGAGGTTTTGCTGCAGGTTGAGGCAGACAGCTTCTGGTGTTTAGCTAAGCTGCTTGCCCATATCCAGGTATGCTGCTGTTGCTGCTGCTGCTGTTGCTGCTGCTGCTGGAGGTCATTGCTGTTCGCTGCAGCACCAATAAATAGCTCTGCTGTGTGGGGTGCAGCAGGTCAGGCCGTTGGATGCTAACTCCTCTCTGCTGCTGCTGCATCTGCTGCTGCTGCATCTGCTGCTGCTGCTGCTGCTGCTTGTGCTGCTGCTTGTGTTGCAGGATCATTACACGTTTGGGCAGCCGGGCATTCGTCGACTTGTCATTCGGCTGCGGGATATCGTCAAGAGAGTTGATGGTCCGCTGCTGCTGCTGCTTCTGCTGCTGCTGCTGCTGCTGCTGCTTGCTGTTGCATCTTCTGCTGGATGTGTATAAAGGCAACACTTGTTGTTAGATATTTAGCGGCTGCTGCTGCTGCTGTTGTTGTTGTTGTTGCTGCTGCAGAGGGCCTCTACCAGCACCTAGAAGCTCAAGGGGTCGATCTGCTGCAGGTCACTTTTCGCTGGATGAACTGCTTACTCATGCGGTAGGTATTAAATGCTGCTGCTGCTGCTGCTGCTGCTGCTACTTACTGCTTCTGGTGCTGCTGCTGCTTCTCTTGTTGTACCGGGGGGAGTCCAGGTGCTGCTGTTGGTGGGATATGCCACAGCAATAGCTGCTGCTGCTGCCGTCTGTGTATTTGTTGCTGATCCTCCTGCATATGTGCTGTTCGTGCTGCGCTGCTGCTGCTGTTGCTGCTGTTTTTTTTTAGGGAGTTCCCCTTGAGCTGTGTCATTCGATTGTGGGACACATATATAGCGGAGCAGGCCGAAGGATTCTCAGACTTCCACGTCTACGTCTGCGCAGGTGCTGCTGCTGCTGCTGCTGCTGCTACTTCGCTGCTGCTAATGTTGCTGCTGTTTTGCTGCTGTTCTTGAACGGAGCAGAACGGCTGGAGGGGGAAGGTAGCTGCTGCTGCTGCTGTAGCTGCTGCTGCTGCTGCTGGGTTTGTGTGTTTGTCTTCAGTGTTTCTTGTTAACTGGTCTAGACAGTTAAAGCAGATGGACTTCCAGCAGGTACTAAAGAATTGCTGCTGCTGCTATTGCTGCTGCTGTTGCTGCTGCTGCTGTTGTGGCAGGTGCTGCTTGTGTGAGGGAAGGCGCAGTGTATCGACCGTTTCTGCTGCTGTTGCTTCTGCTGCTGCTGCAGATGATTTTGTTCATCCAGAACTTTCCAACGACTACATGGGGAGCTCAGGAGATCGAAACGCTGCTTGCTGAGGCGTAAGTACACCTCACTGCGCTGCAATTGCTGCTGCAGTTGCTGCTGCTGTTGCTGTTGTTGGTGCTGCTGCCTCGGCTTATATTATGGCGTTTGTTTGAGTGCTGTTTTGCTGCTGCTGCTGCAGCTTCGTCCTAAAGTCTCTGTACCACTCCGCGCCCAAACATCTCAACTGAAGCCGCACAGCCTCAGTGCGCAGCAGCAGATCTGCTGCTGCTGCTGCTGCTGAAGCAGCGGCAATAGCCTTTTGTCTCTCTCCGCATGCACAGGAGACTACTGCTGTTCTCGAAAGACAATCAGCAAACAAAGTGTGCTGCAACAGGCACCCTGCTGCAGCAGAAGCTGGTGCTGCTGCTGGCTTTGATGCTGCAGCAGTGCATCATTTCGAGGACATCAACAACAATAACGGCAGCACAAGGCTGCTGAGGCAGCGCCGGTGTTGGGCGGGCACCTGCTTGCTGCAGCAGCAGCAGCCAATGTAGCTGCTGCTGCTGCTGCTGCTGCAGGAGCAGCATGAACGGTAAAGGAAGGATTTATTGCCACTGTTTGAACCAGATGGGTATATTTAATGCACGGGTACAGCAGCAGCAGTAGCAACCGTATCAGCAGCAGCAGCAGCAGGAAAGCGAGCAAGCAACATGACTGCTCCTAGTGGCTGCTGCCTGTGTTGATGCCCCGTTGTCTCTGCTTCATTGGTCCTAGGGTTTAGGGTTTTGTACAGGTAACTATACATTGTATATAAGGCTATTAAATTATTATTTAGAGAAGAAAAAAGACAACAGAGTTTGTTGATGCTCGTACAAGAAAAGCAACGAGAGGAAAGAAAAGGAAAGAAAATAAATAAATAAATTAAACCATATAAATTAGCATATTTATAAACAAGTTGATGTTTACATACACTGCAGTAGGCACGAATGTGTGCTGTTGCTATATATCGGTAAAGCAGCAGGGGCTTGGCTCTTTAAGTGAGCAAACCCTAAACCCTAAACCCTAGCTAAACCCCCATTCATATTCCACAGACTGTCGCTGCTGCTGCACCGCCGCACTCGCTTTGTGTGCGGACAGACGGGCACAGACCCAACTTGAGCTACGTCCAAGGGTTTAGGGATTAGGGTTTTGGGTTTAGGTTTTGTTGCTGAGGAAGCGGCGGAAGAGGGGATGCATCTCTGCTGTGGCCTTCGCTCCGCGGCCGCGCGGCGCTGGCCGCGCTGGTTGCTCAAACCCTAAACGGAAAAACAGCATAAACCCTAAACCCTTAAACATTAAGCCCTAGAAACCCTAAACCCTAAAACGAACAAATAGGAATAAGGGCAGAAATAAACACAGCGAGTACAAGAAATGGTTTCGTTAAGGAGAAAGCAGCAACTAATATACACTACAGAAGTACAAAACCCTAGACCCTAGAAACAACCCATAAACCCTAATTCCTCTTTCTTCGCTCACCTGAAATGCCTGCGAGTCCTCCTTGTACGACTCTGGCTGAGGGTTGTTGCTGCTGCTGCTGTTGCTGCTGCTGTTGCTGCTGGTCGGATGATATATAAGTGCCTTCATCTTCATCATCATCAAGACTTCTATCTGCATCATCTGTCATTAAAATATCTCTTAACATCGCCAATTGTCTTTCTTTGTCGCCATACGCTAACGTGTGCTCCTCTAAGGGCAAATCGCGACAGTGCAATACACGGTATGAATACCCCTGCACACACACATAAACCCTAAACCCTAAACCCTCAATGGATGGCAAGGGAAAGTACCCATACAAAAACACATATGCATATGAAGATACAGATATATTTGCCAATGGATACCGCAGCAAATGCCAAAACACAAACCGTAAACCCTAAACCCTAATTCGAAGGCTGCGTGTACGAGGTGCGTCAACCGCTTGAGGGTTTAGGGTTTGTACCTGATCGATGATGAATTGTTGCCTTTTATCTGCATAAACCATTTCTAATGTATCTTTACTAATTAAAGAATAAAAAAAGGCATTAAACCCTCCCTCTTCTTCTGCCCCTCGGGGTTTAGCACGTAAAATACGACCTAAACGCTGAGCCTCTTGACGCCTAGGGAGTGGAGATACAAACCAACACACAACACACACAGCCAGCATACAATAGCTGCTGCTGCTGCTGCTGCTGTCGCTGCTGTTGCTGCTTCGGCTGCAGTTGCTCACCTGGATGCGAAGTTGAAGGAAATCTGGATAACGACGTTTGCACAAGGGATATCAATTGCATTGTCTCCCACTTTGGACAGGAAGAGGGTATTGAAGGAGCTCTCGTTCTGCAAAAAACACTCAAACCCTAGACTCTAAACCCTAAGCCCTACAGGAGCAGCCGACCAACTCGCTTTCCCGTTGAGGTACTTGAATACTTTGGGTCTATATGGAGCTTTGCTAAGGGTTTAGGGTTTATATGGTTTTCTAACCCCACTATCAACTGTTTAGGGTTTAGGGTCTGACGTACTTTGAATTTGCTGAGGATAGCCATACGCTCCGGAGGAGAAACCCTACCATAAATGAAGGGTCTATTAAGAGCTCTAGCAACATGAAGAAGAGCAAAAACATTATCAGAGAAAACAATAACTTTATCTCCTCTTGCTTCATGGAAACGTAAGAGAAATTCGCATGCCATCAACTTTGTTGGGTTACACACCCACAACTTCCGCTGTTTTGCATGCGGAACCTGAATAGGCAACCCACAACCCTAAACCCTAAACCATAAGCCCTAAACCCTAAACACTAGATTGCAAGGAAACAAACCCGCAGATGCACTGGGTCAGGCTCGGAAATACAGAGGGACGGAACCCTGTTCAAGGTTTAGCGCCGGGTGGTTAGGGCCAGCGCTCCGGACTTAGGGTTTAAGGTTTAGGGTTAGGGTGTAGGAATTAGGGTTTAGTTGGTAAGACGCACTCTAAGATACTCCCGATAAAACTCCGCAGTCATGGGGCACCACACTTCCTGACAAGATACCTTCGCCAAATAACCCTGAAAAAGGCAGCAGCAGCACCAACAGCAGCAACAATAGCAACAGCAGCAGCAGAAACAACGGGCGCCCAATCTGTCTTAAGGCAACAGCAGCGGCAGGATGTGTTTGCTTACCTGGTTTTGCAGATCTAGCCAGTTTGCTTCGTATAGTTTGGGTCCGATAATCCACTGCAGATCTTTAATCAAATCGTCTTCTCTCACCAATGTAGCCGTCAAACCCAGACGGCAGTGAGCCCTGCAGCAGCAGCAGCAGCAAGAGCAACAACACCATTGGCAAAAGCAGCTGCAGCTGCAGCAGCGGAGGAGCAAGTAGGACGACGGAAGCAGGGGCAGGGAGAGAAGACAACAGTGTTTCCTAGTATTTCCTACGGTTTCGTAGGGTTTCCTAGGGTTAGCTACCGTTTCCTAGGGCTTATTAGGGCTAACGAGGGTTTATAGTTTTACGAGGGTTTATGAGGGTTTACGTACCGCACAAGATCATTGATTCTCCTGAATGCTGGTGCTGGTGCGAATTGCACTTCATCAAAGATGATGAGACCCCATTCTCTTTGTTTAATTTGTTGGAGAATAATCTCTGCGGATGCACTTCTTTTCCCCGTAAAAGAAAGCATAGTATAAGTAGTGATAAGGACTCCTGCTGCTTCTGGTGGCCATAGCTGCTGCTTCTCCTCTGCTGTTAATGCCAGCAGAACATTCCCGTCAATGCTGCTGTACTCTAAGAATTGACGACGCCATTGCTCTACTGCGACAGCAGATGTTGTTAACACCACCGTGCTGCGCTGCAGCGTGCATGCAGCTGTTATACCCGTTAGCGTCTTACCAGCACCACAAGGTAAGACTATTATACCACTACGTGCACGGCCGTTGCTAAACATCTTACGCAACGCGCGCTCCTGGTAATATCTGCATACGCATACATACACACGAAACATAAACCCTAAACTCTAAACCCTAGAATCAGTACAAGCAAACACGTCCACCCAAGAAAAGGTACAGCAACAACTGCAACAGCAACAACAGCAGCAACAGCAGTAACAGCAGCAGCAACAGAAGCAGCAGCAATACCTGATTTTGGTGGATGATTTAAGTAATAATGAAGTAATTTTTGCATTTTTTGAATCTCTTCGAAAATCATATTCACTTAATAGCGGTCTTTGCATAACTTCAATTGATGTCCTCTTTACCTCCTCTACCTTATCTGCTCGCACCTGGAATGAATACACCTGCAGCAGCAGCAGCAGCAACAACAGCAACGCCAGCAGCAGCACCGGGTGAAAGAGGAGGAAGCAGCATCCATCAGCAGCAGTAGCAGCAGTGCGTGCAGCAGGTGAAGAGGAAACATCACAAGGACAAATGCCGCAGCACCAGCAGGTCCACCTGGTGCAGCAAATTCAACAACAGCAGCAGCAGCAAACGCATGCAACTGGAATGTGGGCAGACACCCAAACAAACAACACACCTGTCTCTCTGAAGCACCCTTGCCCCCACTTTGCTGCTGCTGTTGCTGCGGTTGCTTCTGTGCCCCTTTGTCAGCGGAGACGACTCCAGGTTCCGTCTTGATGTTGCTGCTGTCTTCTGCTGCAGCATCCGGCTCCGATGAAACAAAGGCTAACTGAGATGCGTCAAGGGTTGGGGCGCTGCTTGTTAGATACACATTCTCTTGCTGCTGCTGCTGCTGCTCGCTGAGGTCATTGCTACCAGGTAGCTGATGCTGCTGCTGCATCAACCGCATGAGCTGCTGCTGCTGCTGCTGCTGCGGCAACAGGGAAGCGCTGCGGATGCGCGGATTGGAGAGAAGATGATCAAGTTCCTTTTTGCTGGCAGATTCAATGAAGTAGCAACTCTCATTCAACACTAGCTTCACCTGAAACACCACAAACCCCAAACCCTAAACCCTAAACCATAAGCCCTAAGCCCTAAACCCTAGAGAGTCAGCAGTACTCATTAAGGAATACGCTGTAGGGCCCATAGAGGTGCCGTTAGGGCAATATACAGCCGCAGCAGCACCAGCAGCAGCAGCAGTAGCAGCATACCTTGCCGAATGCAGCAGCAACGTTTTCTATTTGTTTGATGAGTTCGTCAGGTAAAATATTTTTACTTAATTTATTTAAATTAGAAAGAAGATCAGCAGCACTTAAACCAACAGATATGGCCGCATATAAAGAAAATACAGTCAGCTGCAGCAGCAACACAAACAGTAACACTAACAGCAGCAGCAGCATGTGCAGCAATACATATATAGCAGCACATACATAGCAGCAAACTCGAAAGCACCTGCAGCAGCATGCACCTCAGCAACTGCAACGGAACCTACAATACCAACATCAGCAGCAACAAGAGCAACGCCAACAGCAGCAACAACATCAGCAATATCAAAAGCAGCAACATGAACAGCAGCAACATGAACAGCAGGAGGAGGAAGAAGAAGAAAAATATACAAATTTACCTGAAATTCTTGTATAAGTTCGCTCCTACAGATAGGTTCAGCAACAGTAAGAAGAAAATCATTTGCTTGCTTACTAGTAAGCTGAAATAATTCTAAGATAAGAAATCCATCACCACATACCCATATTGGCCTCTCCTCGTGTTGCTCTTTTAGTACTAAATTCTTACTATAATCACGAACACCACGTTGCTGTAAATGTAATGAATCTGCTGTTAATGGTAAACGTGTTAGCTGCTGCACCATGCTGCTTGTATGCTCCTCTGCTACACCACGAGGTGCTGATGCTCCTGCTCCTCCTGCTCCTCCTGCTACTGATGAGGAGCCAGGCATCGTCGTTGGTATTCCCTTGCGAGCTAAGAAATTGCCTGGTGGATAACCATCGGCGCTGCTGCTCCCACCACGACGCCTAAAGGAAATAAAAAAAGAAAAAGAAAGAAAAAAGAACGAAAAAAAAGATATAAAACAGAAATTAAATGACGATACGGTCTAGGGTTAAGTAGTAGGGTTTAGGGTTTAGTACTAATCGCTTAGTAGGGTTTAGGGCTTAGGGTTTAGGGTTTAGGGTTTAGTAGGGAAGCACCCGTACCATCCCTTCCCCGTCCTCATCCGTTTCTTGTACGGATCGCCTGCAAGGAAACACAGGAGCAGCAGCAACAGCAGCAGAAGCAGCAATGGGCACGTCGAACAGAAGCAACAGATCCAGCACACCCAGCAGAACTAACAAGAGCAGCAGCAAGACGACAAGCAGCAGCAGCAACACAATGTCGTTGCAACGCCAGCAGCAACAGGGAACAGAGCGGCCCCACACCTGGGGCGTCCATTGCCGCAGAGCCATGGGGCAACATATTCATCCGTGCATGTAATGCCCCTGCTCGTCGTCTTGCTGCTGGTGCCGTTACTTCTGCTGCTGCTGCTGTTGCTGCTCCTGCTGCTCCCTTGTTCTGCTGCCACAGCAGCAACTAAGAGCTCTTGGGCTCCTCGCTGCTGCACTGCAAGAGAAAACCCTCAAGTGATGATGCGCTGCAGATACCCGCAAAAGCAACAGCAGCAGCAGCAACAGTTGCTGCTGCTGCTGCTCCTGTTCATCATTCGCCTACGCCTTTGTCCCTGGTGCACCTGCTCCTGCTCCTGCAGTTGGGGGCCGCCTTGATCCGGTTGCCGCTGCCGCTGCTGCTGCTGCTGCTGCAGTGAGAGAAGCAGCGGAAACTGAGGGCCAAACCACTTTCGCAAAAGGGGAGTACGTGCGATAAGTCTTGCCGTCCTTGCTGCAGCAACGGCAACAGCAACAGCAGCAACACCAACACTTGGAGCCACAGTAGCTGCGGCTGCTGCTTCTATGGCAACAAGGGAGAGAATGTTGCTGCTGCATGCAACACAAATGAGCCTTAAGAAGTCACATAATAACAGCTTAATTATGGCAAACAAGCAAATTGCTGCAGCAGCAGCAATGCAGGCGCATGCAGCAGACGGCTTCCTAGTTTGCTGCTGCTCCTGCTGCTGTTGCTGCGGCTGCTGCCGTGTGCCCCAGGCAGCAGCAGCAACCGCAGCAGGGCGTTGCCTTCCACAACGACTATGGGCAAAAGAAGTGAAACTTTATTTAAATAAGGAGATTTAATTCTATTTTAACCGTAGAGCAGCACTATATGGGGCAACAGACACCCCAGCAGCAGCATCAGCAGCAGTAGCAGCAGCAGCAGCAACGCAAGCGCTACTCCTGGGGGTGACCCTCTCATTGCCTGCAGCACACGTGGACTTTAGATCTTTTTCTCTCTTTTTCTTTATGCTGATGGAGTTATTTTTCTGCTGCTGCTGACCACTCAAGCTCTCCTTTATGCTTGTTATTGTTCGGCAGCAGCAGCTGCAACCGCGGCAGCAACAGCAGCGTCGGCAGCAGCAACTGCTGCTGCTGCTGCAGCACTTGCTGCAGCTCTCAAGTTCCCACATCTGCACCATGTGGCGAACCTCTACGAGTAACACAAGTTCGCGCGAGGGCTACCAGGAGCAATGGGAGCGACTCTGGGGTTTAGGGTTTAGGATTTAGGGTTTAGGGTTTCATGCTTGTGTGCAGCGCTACCGAGAGGTAGGCACCACTACTTCCTTCGGCAAGGAACGGCAGCGATCTTGCTGCGACTGCAGCAGAAGCAGCAGATGCAGATGCAGATGCAGCAGCACGTGGAGCATCAGACTGCTGGCTGCGATTGCCACCCTTCCGAATGCAGCAACATTTTGCAGCACGGGTGCTGCAGCAACAGCAGCAGCGGTAGTTGCTGCTGCTGCTGTGGCAGTACGGTTACATTCTGCGGCGAAAGGACGTTGGAGCCTCAGCTGCAGCAGCAGCAGCAGCAGCAATTTATGCACCCGAAGCACCTGCCATATGTAGATGCAGCAGCAGCAGAAGCTTCTTCGGATGCTTCCCGAGCACCTGCAGCAGCAGCAGCAGTTACTGCTGCAGCACCTGCAGCAAACAGCAGCGTTCTGGCAGCACTGCAGCAGAGGGCCCACGAGCTCTCTAGCCTGGTGTCCTGGGGTGCTGCAGAGCACCACGAGCTGCTGCTGGTGCTGCTGCAGCAGCAGCAGCACTGTGAACTTCGGCTTCAGCAACAACAGCAGCAGACAGAGGCGCTGCAGCAGCAACAACGTTCTCACTTCGCGCAGCAGCAGAAACGCATGGAGCGTGCGTACACTGCACTGCAGCACGACTTCGAGGCCAACTACAGGCTGTTTGCCGCAGCAGCAGAGCAGCAGAAGCAGCAGCAGCAACAACTGGAAGCATCTCTAAGGGAATCGCGGCATCAGCTGCTGCAGAAGACGGATGAAGCAGAGAAGCTGCGCCGCATCAACTTGCAGCTGCAGCAGCAGGCTGCTAAGTTGGAGCAACAGCAACAACAGCAGCAGCAGGAAGTCCAAGAACTGCAGCAGAAGTTGCAACAGCAGCAAATGCTGCTGCAGGAGCAACAAGAGCAGCAAACGGAGCTGAGACAGCGTTGGGAGCGAGAGGCGGCGCTGAAGCAGCGGGCTTTGAAGCAACTTCGAGCAACAACAGCAGCAGCAGCAACAGCAGAGCAACAGCACCAGGAAGCACTAGAGTGCATGCAACAGCGTTACACAGCAGAAGCTGAGAGACTGGCTGCAGATGCTACTGCAGCACGGCAGCAGCAGCGGTTGCTGCAGCAGCAGCTGGAAGAAGCACAAAAGGCAAAGCATCCCTCAGCAGCAGCAGAGGCCGCATGCAGCGAGTGCAAACGGATGCAGGAGGAGCTGCAGCTGCTGCAGGAACAGCTGCAACAGCGGGAGCAGGAACTGCAGCAGCAGCAGCTGCAGCTTCAGGAGGAGACTGCTACAAGGAAGCAGGCGGAAGCTAGTCTAGATTGTCGACAGGAGGCACTGCAACAGCAGCAAGTTTTGCTGCTGCAGCAGCAGCTGCTGATCCAGCAGCTCGAGCAGCAGATGCAGTCAGAACCCCAAATGGTCAGGTGCAGCAGCAGCATCAGCAAGGCATCTTCAGCAACAGCTGCTGCTGCTGCTGAAGACCAGCAGCAAGACAAGAAATATACAACAGAGTCCTCCACTGCGCAGCACGACCAGCAGCAGCAGCAGCAGCAGGAGGCCAGCCGTATCCTGCTGCTTCTGCTTCGGCAGATTGATGCCGACTCCGGAGAGCAGCAGCAGCACCAGCAGCAGCAGCAGCATCAGCCGGAGCAGAATGTATTGTCACTGGCGCGTTCCGTTGACCGAAGTGTGCGGCATATGCTGCAGCAACGTAAAGAGCACCAGCAGCAGCTGCAGCAACAGAAACAGCTGCTGCAGCAACAGGCGCAGCAGATTGAGCAGAAGGAGCAACTGCACGCTTCTCGTCTTGCTACTCAACGGGCAGAGCATGACCAGGTGGGGATTTGCTGCTTGTGCTGCATCTGCTGCTGCTATGTATGTCTGTCCTTGCTGCTGTCTTTTCCGCTGCATCTGCTGCAAAGGATGCCTGCTTTTGTTGTAGTGTCTTGCTGCAGGCTGTGCTGCGGCTGCAACATGATACATACAGGCAGATTGAGGCCCTATCGAGGCAGCTTCGCAGCAAGGTATGGACAGCAGCGGAGTTAGCAGCAGCAGCAGCAGCCGCGGCAGCAGCAGCAGGCTTTGTGGAGTAGATAAGGCTTGTTCTTGATTTCTTAAGGAGCTGAAGAAGGGTTCCTGCTTTGTGAACTGTTGCTTGCTGCTGCTGCTGTTACTATTGTTGCTGCTGCTGCTGTTACTATTGCTGCTGGTGCAGGAACAAGAGGTAATGCAGTCCGATGATCGCCTACAGTTGGCTCAGGCAGAGTTGCGGCGGTTACAACGGCAGCAACAGCAGCAGCAGCAGCAGGAAGTCTTTGCACACGATGGAGTTGCAAAACGCAGCGGCTCAGACGCGAAACTGGAAATGGCATGCAGCAGCTGCAGAAGCTGCAGCAGAAGGAGAGGGTCTGCTGATGCTGCAGCAGGAGGCACGAGAAGAAGCCGTTCTCTTCATCATCTACACCGCAGCAGCAGCAGCCGCAGCAGCAACAGCAGCAGCAGCCGCTGCAGCACGAGAGAATTTAGGGAGTCGCATCGGACCCGCCGGAACTGGAGGAAACCAGGACAGCAACAACAACAGCGACAGGAGCAGCAACAACAGCAGCAGCAGCAAGAGCAGCAGCAGCAGCAGATAGACGAGCTCGACAGATACCGAAAAGCCTTCAGCGCCATGAGGCAACACGCGGAGGCCATGCAGCAGCAGCACCAGCTGCTGTTGCAAAGCAAGGTGGACTCGGTTGCCCACCTGCAGCAGCAACTGCAGCAGTTGGAGCAGCAGCAACGGCAACAGCAGCAGCAATCGCAGCAGGCGCTGCAACGAGCCGAAGAAGATGCCAAAGTAGGGGGAGTTTGTGTCTATACAGGCTCATGTCTAGACCCTAAACCCTAAACCCTTAACCCGCAGAAGGGAAAAGGGGTACACACACTAAAGATTGTTTTCGTGTTGTGTCATTAGCCCAGTAAGACTTACCATCAGCAGCAGCAGCAGCAGAAGCAACAACACCAACAGCAGAAGCAACATCAGCAGCAGCACGAGCAGGCGTCAGTGCAGATGTCTGATGCAGGCCTTGCGAGAAGAAGCGAATGCTCTGCGCGCTACCATAGAAGACCTACAAGTAAGTTGCTGCTGCTGCTGCTGCACGCAGTGGTGTGGCAATTGTGCTACTGCAGCTACAGCTGATGAGCACAGTGCATCGCCTAGTGGCTTCAGCTGCTTTGCTGCTGCTGCTGTTTGCTGCTGCTGCTGTTTGCTGCTGCTGCTGTTTGCTGCTGCAGGAAGAGAGAGCAATGCTGCTGGATGTTTCTAACAGACTCCACTTTGCTGCTCTGCGGCGCAAACCGCCGCGTACTCCTTCGGGTGTCCAGACAGCTTCTGTATACTCGCAGCAGGAGCAACAAGAGCAGCAGCAGCACCAGCATCACAATGTGCAAAACGGGACGCAGGATCAAGGGATCCTGGAGGTGCAGGGCATGCAAGCAGCAGCCGTAGCAGCAGCACAAGGAGCGAAGCGGCTTCCCGAAGCCTCATTTAAGGCGTCATTGGCTTTGTAAGTTGACTATACACTTTAATACCAAAACAATAAAGAAGGGTTATCCAGCCTAAACCCTAAACCCTAAACCCTAAAACCTAACGTTGGAGCACCAGGTTTGCTGATGGCGAGTCAGGCCGCGGCGCCAACAGTCAGCAGGCTTCCGAGGACAGCAGCAGCAAAAGCAGCAGCAACAGCAACAGCAGCAGCAACAGGAACAGTGTCAACAAGAACAGCGTGAACAAGGACAGCAACAGCAACAGAAACATCAACAGCAGCAAGAGAAGCAGCAGCAGCAGCAGCACCGGCTAGTGAGGCGAGGCAGCTGCAGCAGTTTAACAGACAGGCCCCTTCGTTGGATCCTAGAGAGGAAGGTGAGTGGGAATTAGGGTTTAGGGTTTATGGTTTAGGGTTTAACGTTTGCTACCTCCGTGTAGCAGAAGTCAGCCTAGACACTGCAGCAAAGACAATAGGATGCATGCAGTGTTGGGGCTTTGTTATGCCCGCGGTTGCCTTCCTTTGTATATTTATCTTCTCTCTCCTCTTGCTGCTGCAGCTGCAGCTGCTGCAGCACCTGCTCCAATGTGTATGTGATGTTTGCACTGTCTGCTCCCCTTGGTGCTGCTCTCCCTCCTATCCCTTTGTTCCTCAGGGTGTCTCCTTCTCTGCCTCAGTCGTCATTGTTTACAGTGTCTCCGTTTTAAGGTGTCTCCTTCGTTAAGCGTGTCTCCTTCCTTGCTGCAGGGCTCCTCTTCTGTTATTGTCCCTTCACGGCCTGTCTCTTGGAGTGAGGGTTTTCCATCGCTGCTCTAAACCCTAAACCACCCTCTTGTGGTCCTGCTGCTGTACCTCCTCGTACAGAGACAGAGACACTTATTTGCTGTGCCAAAGGGAAGCGGAGGAAGAGACCGTGGCAACTGGTTCTATGCTTGAACAGGGTTTAGGGTTTAGCCTTTAGGCTTTATGGTTTGTTCGGGCCACACAAACGAGCAGCATACAGTGAGGGACAGCTAGACAGTTCTGGAGGGGAGACAAAAGAGAACAAAATGCCCATTAGTTAATAAAATGGAGCCAAAATAAGACAGATGAGGCAACTGCACGCACTCAAGAAGCTCACTCAAGTAGCAGCAGCAGAAGCAGAAGCATCGCCTGCTGCCTTGGTGGCCAATATCTGTCTACTCCTGTTTAGGGCTAAGTCGAGGAGGCAGAGCGACAACTCCCCCCAGTGTGATGTAGCAAGGCCATATAGCAGATATGTCTAGCTAGCTAGCAAAAAGACGACCTAGCTTCTCTAGCTAGTCGTAGGTAAGCGGAGACAGTACGACGCAGGGGACATAATGAGACCAACATTCACCTTAAGAGAAAAAATATGTTGCACTTGGCCACAAAACCGAACCTTCTACAATAACACCGAGGCACCAGGAGGGCCACCAAGACGTTTCTGGCTAGCTGCTGGCTAACTAGACTGGGGATGCTGCTGCCAGCTAGCTAGCGCACCGCTAGTTAGCTGGGTCTGTTTCTGGCTGTCTGCCGGCTAGCTAGGCAGCTGTTGCTGCTAGCTAGCTGCCCGCCCAAGCCACCCGTGCCCATCTAGCTTCCCCCCTACTAGGCAGCAAGGAAGCAAGTAGGGCGGCAGCAGATAGACAAAAACTGGGCAAGTGGGTAAGTCTTGCAGCATGTGTGGCCTGCTACCTAGGTGACCAACTAACTAACCAGCTAGGCTGCCAGCCAGCTAGTTAGCTGACTAGCAAAGCAGTCAGCTAGCTAACTAACTGGCTAGGCGGGCAGCCAGCTAGCTAGGTAGCTAGCTAGCTGTGCGTGTTTTTTTCTTTTTCCGTGAAAGTAGGAGGTAAGGTTGTTTTGGTGGGGTGTATTAGGATGCGAGCTTCTTCTTCATTCGTCTTCTGTACACCATATCACCAAAGACTTTGCGAAGAGAATAGATGAGGGCGGCAAGAAGTGCGCCAAAGACGAAAAAATGATGCTCGAATGTGGAGGCGACACCTCGTAGGCCCGCATTGGCCTGGGCAGATGTAGAGTACAAAAGAAAGGCTAGAGAAAGAGGCGGGAGGATAAAAAGGAAGACGCGAGAAAGACTAGCTACAGGATATTCATATTTACGTAAATTGTCCTTTATAATGGTGCGTCTTTCAGACGGGGCGCTTCCTAAGACTGCATTCTTTGCTGCACGGAACTGGCGCCTCTTGCGGTAAAAATGATCAAAAAGAGTATACAACAACTCCAGAAATGCAACCGCAGCAAACCCGAATCCCGCTGCCATCAGACGGGGATAATCTTGCCCCCCTTTCCTCCAACAATGCTTTATAATTGAGGAGGCTATGCTCAAACCCAACAGGCCACGAACTCGCAAACGCGGACCAGCAATCTTTGCAGTGTCTGCGGTCTCCCTCTCTTCCGCTTTATCCTCCTCCAATAAAGCCTCTCCACCCTCCTGCTGCTCTTGGTGATGCTCCTGCTCCCCTTGCTGCTGCTCCTGCTGCTGCTCCTGCGGATTCCGGGTCACCTGCTGCACCTCGTTTGCAAAGTCGACCCCAGCAAGAAGATCACCCGATCCACCAATTGCAAGACTTTCTGGTGGGGGGAAAACTGGAGGAATTGTCAATTGACCGTCAAGACTATGGGGTTGTTCCTCTGACACCGCAGGGTACCCCAAGGAGAAACCTCCTCCCCCCTCATTAACAGTACTAATTGAGGAACCCTCATGCTCTCCATGCGAAGCTGTAATGATCTGTTCAGGTGTAGTAACACCAAATTCTGCTGCAGCTGCCACCGCTGCTGCTGCTACAGTTGTTGCTGCTGCTGCCACGACCGCTAGTCTGGGGCGGGGGCGGGGGCCGGCGAGGCCCCACGAAGGAAGAAGAGGCATATGCTTTTCCTGTTGCACGATTATTAGGCTAAAGGGGGGAATAAACTTTAAAATGCCTAAAGATCAATGTTTAAAACACTGAGTGGCCTCCAACCCCCCCTCCCGAAAGAAGAACAGCAAGGAGAACAACCGGGCAACGCTCTGCCGTGGCAGCAGCGCAATAGGAAAGAGAGAGTTTGTATTGAGTCAGACGAGAGGAAAACAAACTACAAAAAGAAGAAAAGCAACAAGAAAATAAAGGATGTCCTTCAACAGTCTTACGACGAAGGCCCTCCATCACATAGGCTGAGTGAGCCCCGTTGTGGGCGCTCTCGCCGATGCAGCCACCAGCAGCAACCGCAGCAGCAGAAGCTGTAACACGTGCTGTGGTTCCCCTTTGCTTCCTTGTATATTATAATGCTTAAACCATTTGAAACAAGTTACTTTGCAAAGTAGTACTAAACAAATATGTAGCATGGATGCATCTAGCACATGATGGAGGGGAACGGCTCCTCCCACAGCAATAGCAGAAACAACAACAGCAGCAGCCGACTATGGCCTCATACCAGATATTTGTTTATCCTTGTTATTGTTCTAAAATCAAGATGCAAAAAGAAACCAGCTGCAGCAGAAAGGAGGAACAATATACAGCAACAAAACATATTGGTTTACACAGCAAAACTAACGACAGCATTAAATAAGCGAAGAATTAAAAGCAAGAAACCTGCAAGAAACGCCGGTGGTGTACATACACTCCATTTAGTCAATGTTAAACGTGTTATCTACTACAACTATTATGGACTCGCTCTTCGTGTTATCTACTACAGAGTCAATTAGGAGAGCGAGTCCATACTAGTTGGAAGAATGAGACCGGAAGAGGTAAACCCTTAATCGTGTACTCGACGATTAAGAGACGCAAGTATGTTACGTGGCTGTGGCAAACGAAGCACGCCCTGCATTGAAATGCTTCTGTTGCTACTGCTATTGCTGCTGCTGTTTGTGCCGTTGGTGTTGCTGCTGCTTCTGGTGCTACTGCTGATGCTGCCGCTCGCTGTTGCTCGCAACGAAGACCCTACGGTGTAATGTTTCACCTTCTGCAACCGCTAGGGTGTACATACACCTGACAATCTACCTACTTAGCAGGGGAGGAAACTCGTTGCAAATAATTTGATGGTGCACTAGCATATAAATGAATAGTAAATGAAAAATAAATAAATTTATACAGCAAAAGGATTAGATAAAAATAATATTTTATTGCTATTTATAATATCTGTATACTTAATCTGACCAGTGGTCACTAAAGCTTGCGAAGCAAAACAATTACAGTAAATCAAGCGACAGGCCACACCGGCCGCTGCAGCAGCTGCAGCTGCAGCAGCGGCCGTATTGAGGAGCTGCAGCTTCTAGCCGCTGCTCCTGGTGCCATGATTTCAGCTTGCTTGTTGCTGTTGTTGCTGCTGCTGTTGCTGCAGCTGCCGATGCAGCTGCTGCACTGTATGGATCTGGCTTTGAAGACCCATAGCAAGGAAAGTTGCTGCTGTATAACTTGCTGCACAAAGAGGAGAGAGCAGATGCTTGCTGCTGCTGCATAAATAGGAGTCCGCTTGTGCATGCATCCTTTAAAAGAAAACAATTGCTGCTAGAGTAATAAAAGAAATAAACAACCTCATAACAGCCATCATCTACCAAGAGGTGATGCAATAATAGTCACTGTTGCTGCTGTTTTGCTGCCGCTTCTGTTGCGGCTAGTGCATGTCTATATGCTGCCTTCTCTGCGCAGCCACAGCTGCATCATCAGCTGCAGTTGCAGCAGCGTGGCTTACTGCAGCAGCTGCTGCTGCAGCAGCAACCAGAGGCTTTTCAGTGCGTTGTTTAGAAGCTGCGGAGGAGATCAGCAAAGGTGCCCCCTGCGCCGCTAATAAGAGAGGCAAGTCCTCCTAGTATAAAGATCATAACACCTAAGAGGATACCAGCAGCAAGAGGGAAGCCAAGAGTCATAAAGAGTCCTGATACAAGGAAGAAGGTAGGGATACCTACAAGAGAAGATCTTAATGCCTTCCGAATGCGGGATGCAGCTGACTGTTTTGCTTCTGTTAGACCTCCATATTCAACAAGACCAACTAAATCTTCCTTAGGACCCTTGGGGTGTACAGACACCGTAAATTGGAATTCCCCTTGTTTTCTAAATAAAGACTCAAGGAAATGCACAAGACCCACAAAAGCAACTGTCATCGCTGTCTGTTCCTTAAGGGTAAGGGGTCCCCCTCTTCTTGTAGTAAGAAGGTATAAGAAGAGGAGGAGGCCAGCAGATAGGGTCTTAAGACCCCTAAGTTTCCTTCTCTGACGATCTAAGAGAGGCACCTGCAGCTCCCCCACAGACGTACCATCAGACAATTTTAATGGTAATCTTTCCCCTTCTAGTGTTAGCCTCTCAGTAGGCAGCAGCAAATCCTCCTCTAAGGGATCTTCTTCTGTTCCCGCCTCAGCTAGCAAAGACAAAGGAGAATCCGTCACTTCCCCCTCAACCAGCACAACGGAGTCTTCGCCAGGACTGCGCTGCTGCTGCTGCTGCTGCTGCTGTTGCAGACCAGCAACATCGATCGTCGGCTGAGGCGCCTCCGGATCATCTTCGACCTTCTGTAGGACTGCATCGGGCTGCAGCTGCTGCTGCAGCATCAGCTGCTGCTGCTGCTGCTGCTGCTGCACCTCTGCCTTCATGTGCAGGGCTGAATCCTCTGAATGCACAGAATCTGTGGCTGTCACCGATGAGACTGGTGCGGTGTCAACAGGTTCAGCCAGCCACAGGCTGTCACCCATTCCTGCTGTTGCAGCTGCAGCTGCTGTAGCAGCACCAGCAGCAGCAACAGGGTGGGACAGCACCAAAAGACAACCAGACAGACACACACACCCCTTGACCACGCCCGAGCCCAACATTATCGCTTATTAGAAAACAATAAACTGCACAAAAACATGTAGCAAGGGACGAGACGCAGCTGTCAATACAGCTGTTTAAATGCGAGCGGTGAAGTGCTGCTGCACGAAAGGGCCGAGGCAGACAGCAGCAAACAGGCTCGCCGCTGCCGTTCTCAGTGTGGGAAGGGGAAGAAATATGAGGAGGAAAATATTTGATTTATATTTCACGTGTGTGGACGAACAAGACGAGGGGCGAAACCCAAAGAACCCAGGCAGCCGCCGCCGCTGCGTGGGGATCGTCTGCCCGGAGGAGGACGACGCCTCGATGCCGTGCATGCAACTGTCACACCTATCTAAACAAACATCTCCTGTCTCTCTTCGTTGTTGATCCAAAGGTGTTGTTTAATTTCCTTCAAAAAATACTCCGTGCAAGATTGACCTTTTTTTCACGTCCTTTCCCCCTTTCCCCCTTCGTTCAGATGCCGTCCACGGCAGATGCTGTAGCTAACTAACTACGTGGTCTGCTGTGCAGGCATTTGTAGTGCACACACCATGCATATACCAACACAAAAATTTCTTGAGGCCCCTTCAATTCAGTTAACCGCAGACGCTTGCGCTCTCTGTATGCTGGATAACCCAACCCATTACGTGCAAGTGTGTGTGGTCGCTGTAGCCGGCGGTCCGTCTAAAGTTTTCGTGTGCGCTTCTACTTGCCTTCATGCTGACAACGGGGTTTCAGGTTAATTGCACCATCAGTACATGTTAGGACTTTATCCCAGAGTACGTTTCACATGTTTGCTTGCGGTTTTGCCGTGCAGAGGTTGTTGCTGTTGATGATTGCAACTGTCAGCCGGAACTGAAGTTGGTACTTATATCTCTACTGGCATCGAAATTGACCATTGGTGGGTCAGCTAAACTTTTTCGTACAAATGGCTTAACGGTTAGGGCATGCATCGATAGGGGATGGTGCACGAATGTCTGTGGTAGTTGCAGCAGCTTTTCCTGCAACATCTGCATTGCCGTGTCCTTGCCGTACCAGCGCACAACCTTTGAGCCGCTATGCCCAGAACATTTATAGACTGGAATGAGATCATCTGCCCCTCTGGTAGATATTGTTGAAGTATTTTGACCGCATTTCAAGGCGATATCAATTGTAACGAGTGCCCTCAATCTGATCGCCAATGCAACAGGCTCCCCTCGTCTGTGTGAGATGGAATATCTTGGCAACTTGACCGTTTGCTGTTTCATGTGATAATACCGCTAGCCAGTTAGGTGCGAGACATCACGAGTTCAAGTGATAGAGCAGCCGTTCTTGCTTGAGTTTCTGTGTCTCGGGTTGCTGCGCAACACTAGTTGCATCAAGCTGCACTGCAACATGCCTCAAGCAGTCTCTTGTTGGCCAACTCCAAGCCTTTAGGTCGCAGTAACCAGGGACCCCAGTGATTGTAGGAGAGGTCGACGGAATTTTAGGAATTCCAACATAACTACTTGGACGATAGTGCAACACATAAACCATTGGATAAGGCCGACGTGTGTTGTATCTTGCAGTCTTGCGAGCACGCTGAGGTGCAATTATGGTCTTCAGCATATAGGAGCTGGTGGAGCAGCTTCCGCGCCTGCTCCTCCACAGCCTATTGAGTTATTATCGCTGGAACACCTTGAGCTGTCACTGTTGGTGTACCTGCAATTCACCTATTTTTGAGAACACGTTCAATCAATCAGTCGCAGAACATGTCTCCCATATTCTGTTGGGCAGCTTGCTCACTCCAAAATTCTTATGAAGGTGCATCTAATTTTAGCAGCGCACCAAGATCACTACGTACATTAGCCTTCCGCAAGTATATCATTACGCAACTCACATATTGCGCCGGAACAGGTATTGCTCTAGTACACGAGCTAGAAAAAATTAGTAGGCGAAAACAAGAGACCAAAGCCCTACCTGCAAACATCGTTGGCTGCCTAGCCTGGTGGTTTAACTCTTGCGATTGGATGCAAGAGCCCCCGGGTTCAATTCCCGGAACAGCCCTACGTCTTGTCCCAAACAACCCTCCTTCCACCCTTTCTTGTCCCTTCCTTTCCCTGGACACCCGCTACCTCAAAACAAGCCACCACAACATGGCTCCTCTATTCCCTAGTACAAGCCATTACAACAAAAGCCTACACAAATGAATAGCTAGTAGATGTGCATTTTGGCCATTGGTGGACTTGCAGTGTCTGGATATATCGACCTGGCAACCGCAGGGGGAGCGCAAATGGAAAGGACCAAGGGTATCGATGCAGAAACTGTCAGAAAAGTGCGCATCCGCTTTCTCGTCCACCTGGCGCAAATGTTGTACTAACAGCCACAGAGAACTCACAAGACAAATACGTACCCTGCTCGAGCCAAGCCA